ATAAATAAAATATAAAAATATGGACCACATAGTTATTTTTATTTTTAATAAAGAAAAATTATATTATTTTAAATAAGTAAAAAATAAACTTTTAATTATTTTATCTAATTAGCAAATTTGTATATTAAATTAATATAAATTTTTTAATGAAAAATTAAAGAACAAATTGAAAATATAATGATCATTTAATAACATTAAAGAGAAAAAATGAAGTTAAAATCAATGCATAAGGTGTAGATTACACTCCAAAATTATTGTGTTGAAACAAATCCCCACTCAAAAAATATTGACACAACTTGCCATTTCAAATTTTCAGTTTAAAAAAATTAGCCTAAATTTAATAGTTATTATTAATTTTTTTGTTAAAGTTCAAGAACAATTATTTAACAAAATTTAATGAAAACGGTTAAATTCAAACTAATTTCTTAAAAAAGAAACTTTAAGGTTGCAAACTGCATCAATAGTTTTTTGAAATGATAATTTGCTTTAAAACAACAATTTTGGGGATAATTTGCACATTTGCCCTAAAATCAATTGGAAAAGTGTTAATTACATAGCATGACAAAAAATTTAAAATTAAAAGGGATAAATTTGTCAATAAAATAAAAAAAATTTAATTTATTAGAAACTTGATACAAAAAGCTATCTAAAATAATTTTTTCAATCCACTTGTAGCTATTATTGTTAGTTCCTAACAATTAAATAAAAAATTTTACTACATAATTTGTATCGGTTTCAAAATAAAAACATTTATGGAACACTTATCCTATAGTGGCTTAGGTGAAGTTGCCAACTACTACTTCAAACTACTATACCAAATGGGTTCTTTATCATTTTATTATAATAAAAATATGTATATGTTATCATTTATTTCTTTAAATACGTAAACATATTCTTGTTTTTGAATATATAAACACTGCAATGACACTTATCATTCTGAAAAAAAAAAAAAAAAAACCTTTCCTAAGGTATTGTTAGTTTGAAACTAATGTGATATTTGGTATTACTAGTTTGACTTAAAACTCTAAAAGTGCTTGGATTTTATTTATCATTAAGGTTATGTTTGGGAACTTGAAATTGTATTTGAAAGATGTATTTTAAATACATGTAATTTAAAAATATATGTATTTTTAAATTTATTGTTTGGATTAATATAATAAAAATGAATTTGATATTCAAGTTGTTGATTGAGGCATTCTGACAAACACTTCCAAGGCATTTTTATCATCTTCTCCACCTCCCACTCTTCTTCACTTCCCACTCTTCCTCTACCCCTTTAATGGCTTTTCGTTGCAAACTTTCAACGAGACTCACCTTTTTATCTACACCCAATGTTGGTCCCTCCACAAGTGTTTAATCTTCCCTTGTTAGGACACTCTAGTTGCATGTGTCTGTTGCTCTGCTTTGCTCAATATGCCTTAGGAGTTGTCTACTGTGATGGCTGATCATGTGGATTGTTGCACGCCCATTGCTGGAGAGGAGAATACAAGCCTGCTCCACCAAAGATTTGGTTCATTGTGAGCAGCATAAGGGTGGGTGAAGTGAAATCATCCACTATTGAGCTCCATCAAAATTAGGAGAATTGAAATAGATGAATCTAAATTTGAAATACATAGGATTAGAAGAGGATTTGAAATATATGGATTTTAAAGTAATGAAATACACAAACCGAATTACATGTGTTTGGGTTAAATTCAATTACATTCTTATTTTGTGAAAACAAATAGTGATATTGAATTTGAAATGACCAAATTCAAATACTCTCCAAATATCATGTTCCCAAACATACCATTAGGTTTTTTTTTTTTTTTGAAAAGTTTGAGTATTGTTTATTATTAGAGCCTCCTAAAGTGCTTATATTTGTTGCTTGATAAAAAAATTATGATTAGTTACATTTTAGTAAATTATGTTAGAATCTACTAGAATTTTTAAAGATGAAAAATTAACCATAATACTAAAAAAATTTAAAAAAAAATAAAATTTGCTACTCATGTTATATTATGTGACTAGTTATTATTGATCATCTGAAAAAGTGAGGATCTATATAGTTCTTAGTGCACATGTAATGTTTTCCTTCATAAAAGGGCGGATATGACTTAATTGCAGGTTTAGGGGTAATTTGCCCCAGGAGAAAAAGGTATAGGTGCTGATTTGCCTCAACACAACAAGTTTAAGGGCACATTTGACCTTTTCCCTTATTTTTCCAAACCCAAAAGGCCAAAACAGTTGTGGGGTTGGGTCGCACGCGCACACGGCCACGGTTTAAAAAACGGAAACCGCGTAGTAATTGGCTTGAAATGATGAATAAGAAAAGCACTGACCTTCGCCTTAGGGGTCGGCTTCTGCATATTAAAACTGGGATTCAATTCCTTGAATCCCTGATTTCTTCACCCTGTCATTTTTTTGGGTCACTGCTCGTTCGGCGATTTTCCGTTGAATTTCAGGTAACTCACGTCTTTAATTCTTTATCAACTCTGTATACCCCCGCAAGAAAAGTTTGATTTTGAATTCCCAACACAACATAGATCTTTGGAAGTGAAACCCTAAAGCTCGTTTTTCTTATCATCGGTCCCTGGCAGTTGAAGCAATCGCTTTTTAATTTTGAAATTCCCAGGTTGAAGAGGCTGCTCATTTGCTCGTGCACTTTTTTCTATTCTCAGGTTTTGATTTGATCTGTCTGTTGCTCCAAGATGCCGGCCACTGCAGGTAGGGTTCGAATGCCCGCAAACAATCGGGTGCATAGTAGTGCAGCCTTGCAAACCCACGGGATATGGCAGAGTGCGATTGGTTATGACCCATATGCACCTAACAAAGATGACGCCAAGGGTTCCTCAAATCCCAAGTCGTCCAGTGCTGAACCTGAGGCTGAGAATGCCTATGCCAGCTTTCAGGGTCTTCTGGCTCTTGCTCGCATCACTGGGTCTAATGCTGATGAGGCTCGTGGTGCCTGCAAGAAGTGTGGCCGTGTTGGGCACCTTACGTTTCAGTGTAAGAACTTTTTGAGTCTTAAGGAGGATAATAAGGAGAAAGACCCAGAAGCAATTCAGGCTGCGGTTATGTCTGGATTGGATAAATTGAAGGGAAGCAATGGAAAGAAGGTGGATGATAGCGAAGAGGAGAGTGCGGAGGAAGAGAGTGAGAGTTCGGATTCTGATGTGGATTCTGAGATGGAGAGGATTATTGCTGAAAGGCTTGGGAAGAAGACTAGTACTAAGAAGAAGTCATCAAGGAAGAAGAAAGATGACTCTGATTCTGATGGCTCAGATTCAGATTCTGCTGTAAGGAAGAAGAGGGGGAGGTCAAAGAAAAGGAGTAGTAGGAAGAGGGGTTTCAGTGATTCAGAGGATGAGGAGGAAGCTAGAAGGAAGAGGAGAAAGGAAAAGAGGAGGAAGAGGGATGAATCCTCAGATGAGGATGATGAGCGTCGACACCATAAAAGGAAGAGCAGGAAGGAGAAGAGGAGGAGGAGAAGTCATAGATCATCATATGATTCTGATCCTGATGGATCGGATGATTCTGGCAGACGTCATAGGAGAAAGAGCCGGAGGGCAGCATCCCCATCTGATTCTGATGTCAGTTGCTCAGATGATTCAAGGGTTGGAAGGGATGCTAAACGGTCTGAGAAGAGGAGCAGGAAACCTCATAGTGAAGAGGATGAGTATTGACTTAACGTAAAAGGTAATGCTTAAGCTTTTTCATAGTCTGGTTTCCCATTTTAGTCTTATTATATCTATCTTTAGTGAATGCAATGAAATGGTGGATGAGCTTGCTACTATGTATCAAATTTTTATTATTTGGTATGTGTTTTGCCTATACAAGATTATGTCATCTAAATATCAACATTTCTAGTCATAATCAATATACTTTGTTTTATTTTCTTTGCTGTAAGTAATTGAAGCATATTTGCTTATTAACAGGGATTAATTGCATTCTTATGCAAGGTTTTGCATTTTAAAAATGATCTTCATTTGGTTTTGTTTGTTGAAATATTGTAAATCTTAGGTAACTGATTCCTCGCAAAATATTGAGGGGAGAAAGAAAAAACCACACTATTTGAGCTTTATGAATTACTATTGTCAAATTTTAGAAAATAAAAGAGGGAAATATACTTCAGAAGCTCCTTCAATCATACTGCAGAATGAAGAACCAACAAAAGTTGAAATGGATAGATAGGTGGCATAGATATGTATCTGCTCTTCTTCAATGAACCTAATTAGTCAATCCAGTGTTGGAGATGAGCCTTCGTATTGATTCTGAATGGCACATTGACCAGTGTCCACCACTTGTTTAAACCACTTGAAGACAATAGGTTTATAACTTTACATGCACAATTTCAACTTGTAAAAATCTGGGATTTACATCTGCATTATACTGTTTTTTCTGGTGAGCATTATGATATGTGATTGTCTTTTTTCTGAGTGACATAAAGCAGTCCACCAAGGTGGTCCAAAATATGAAAATTCCATTTGAACAGAGGAAACATCATCTGATTGGAATGACAATCTTAGTGTCAATAAAGCATGTGATATTATTTTTGATAAGTTATTATTATTTAGTGCTTTGTTTGGTGCATTTCCTCCCATTTATTTTAAGCACAGAGAGGTGTAACCTCTAAAAAGAAGTCTTCAGTTGCTAAATTTAAGCTTTTGTTGATTTGTAGGATTATGAAGATGTGGATGTGGCAATTGGATGTGAAGTTCCATGTTTCAGAAGGAGAAATCAAATCATTGAAAATATTGATGTGAATGACTGCATAAGACAATCCATTCCCGCATTTTTAAGGCTGTGAGTTATTTCTTTGCTTGTTCCAACTTGCAGGCAGTTCATCGTGCATGTGATGTGTTTAAAAACGCTTCGTTTGCTGGTTTTGCACTTCATGTTTCAAGAATGTAAAACGTGTATTGGATTGTATTTTCCTGATCATGATATCCTGTTTATGACGATCACATGTATTTCAGCCCGTTGCATTGCTTTTAAGTACAAGTTTATTCTCAACAATATTTCCAGAATGGAGATGACAAGCCAAACCACTATATATGTATGTATGTATATATAATACGAAAGTTTTAGAGCCCCTTCATCAATTTTTCTTTGTCCTTTGCAAATAATCAAGGCTAGATGGACAACTTCTCAAGTTACTTCCACATGGACAACCAATTTTGTTGGAAATTTGATTTATTAGACTTGAATTAAATCAACTTCTAAAGGATTACACAGGCATCAAATGTGAAATGTCAATGAAAGATCATAGTAAACAACAGCAATAACCAAAATCTGAATCTCATCAAGGTTTGTTTAAAGGTACATTTGTGCTTTAATCGTGTGTTGCTGCTTGTGCATTGAGCTCAGCGAACCTCGTGCCCACACGCGTAGAAATGCTTCAAGAACTTCTCAGCACAGCGCTGGACGCAGTTTCCCTACTCTTGCTTCTGTAAAGTTTAGCGTGTAAAGTTATCCACCCAGTCGTTGAAGCATTTGTCCACAACTGAATTATACATCCTCAGACTGCATGTTCAAATTCGGAAAATAATTTTAGACGTAATGCAGATGCCACACATCACGACGATGTAACTGTTAATAACAGGAGAACCAAATTGAAAGCATAATATCGTAATCAGAAAGGAAAAATTCATTATCATGTTCTTCTACTTTTGGATGACTCCCAGATAAATGCAATGATAGGAGGTGCTATCACAGGGGCACTGGTCTCTGTAGTAAGCAACGAGAGCAAAGACAAGGTTATGATTGATGCCATCACAGAAGGCGGCTTGGCAACTGCTTCAAAGTTTGCTAACTGCCTCACCTGAAAACTGGAAGCCGATTTTGCTGCGTGTTCTTTAGGAATTACTATGTAGCCCGACCCTTTTTTACATTTCCAAAATGCTAATGCAAAATAATCTAGCTAGTTGTAAAAAGACAGGCAGTTGATGTGATGATTGTAACTGATAAGAATAATTGTGGTGCTAATTATCTTTTCTTTCCCTCAAAACTTTGTGTACGTGGGTAGGATTTTGAGAAAACAAGATGCATGGTTCACGTACATAATGTGCGTGAATGTTATTTCCTGTTCAAATGGAATAACCTCATGCAGCCAACTGTATGTAGATTTGAGGTGAACTGGAAGAAACATAAGTTGAGCACATTTAGCAGCATTAGAAGAAATTAATGTGATTTGTAACTCAAAGATATTAATTTCCATACCTTTGTGATAATGAAACATTGAAACAAAATCTATCATTTTTTTAATCCTTAACTACAGTAGAAATTTTTTCCCCAAAACACTTTTCCAACTTCTAGGAACAAGAATCAATGGAAAAGAGTAAGTACGCGGCCATCAAACATGAGGACCAGTTCCAACATGTACAATAAGTTTTAGTAAGCTATAGGTTTCAGCATCTGGTCTAGCTCCTTCCAGAATCATCCCTCTCAATAGATTGGGATCATAAATTTTTGCTCTAACATAAGCCTTGATCAAGGCGTTGTAAAAAAAAAGTACACCTGATATACTTGGCTTCTTTCAGCTCTTCAAGCAATTTTTCAGCATTCTTGACATCACCCTTTTCTGCAAATATCTCAATCATTGAGAGGCTAGTTTCCAACCACGGAGTTGAATTTCTTACCCTTTTGCTTGTCATCAGATTCTTATCCAAATCTAGTGTCTTCAAGCCTTCTCCCAGTAATCCTGCTTTTAGACATCCCAAAGCAAGATGTCTACAAGTAATGGAAATTGGTTTGCAACCATTCGTCTTCATTTTGCTGTAAATTCTAGTTGCTTTGTCAATTAATCCATGTTTGCAATGCACGGATATCATAAAATTGAACTGATCTATTGATTTCAAAACCCTTTCATCGACATCATTTCTGACCAAAGTTCTTCAGATAATCAATTCTACCCATTGCTTCAATTGCTACCATAAAACTTTTTAAGTCTAACATTGGGGAACTCTTCTACAACCTGCCAAGTTCTCTCTGGTTCCTTCTCCTTTCCCAAATATCCATACAACATAATTAGAACGTCTAATGTTGATCAGTTATTTCCCGTCATAGCTTTTTCTACAGCCTCAGCATAGGCTTCAGCCACAATATACAATCTTGCCACTACATGAGCCATAGCTAATATGCAGTAAGATATCTCATTTGGCTCAACTTCTTGCTTTCTAGTTTCTTCATATCATTGAAAACCTTTACCAAGCCTTCAACATTGTGTTCATTGGTCTCTATTTTCATGAGATCATTGCAGGTAGAGACATGTCGCACCACCTTATCAGCCTTCATTTGAAGAAGGATTTTTGGAATCATTTTCCTGCAGCTTGGAGTTGAATGGTGGTTTATGAGATGGTTGAAAACCAAGTGCGAGATAGGGTGACCAATTCCCTCATTTTCTTCATGCACTCAAGTGAAGGCCTTATCACACCTTTATCCAAACATGCAATCACAAGATTGTTATAAATAATTATGCACGTTTGTTCATTTTCTGCTTCCTCAAACGATCTATCGCTTGAAAAATGTCTCCTCTATGAATGGGAAACCCCTTGCCCATCCATCACAGAAATGCGGACCCAGCTGGTTATCCTTTGGCGAGCCTCTCAATTCTCAAACACAAACACTTGTTATCTTCTTGATTCGACTCTGAACTCTTGTCCGGAAATGTTTCGTCTGACTGAGCAAACGAATAACTGGAAGTACTATGATTGAGAGATGAAGATGTGAGAAGAACTGTCCGACGAACTGTCTGAAAGAGTATTCTGTGCCCCTGCAAAACCAGGGCCTGCATGCTTTGCGTTTGGGAGGAAGGGGAGAAAAAGTAGGATGTTTGGAAAAGCACAAAAAGCACTTGCCTTAAAATTTTTTTTTTAAAAAAAAAAAAAACTATTTATCTCTTTAAATTTAAAATTTTGTTAGGGGAAATTAAAAAAATATTTTTTAAATATATTTTAAACAAATTTTAAAAAATAAAGCATTTAAATTTTTTAAAAATTTGTTTAAAATTAAAAAAAAAAAGTAATTTTATTATAGTTTTAATAAATTTTGGATTTATAGAAGATATATAGTATTTTAGTAAGTGCCCAAAGGTCTGTCAAACACCCTCACCGGAATCCTTGAACAATAAAAGACCTGTACCCTAACTCCTCGGTTTAACTATCGCTGACTGCTGAGAATCGTTAGTAAGGATTAAGAGTCCAGCCCATGGTTGAAGAATTGTTCTCCTAAAATGATTCACAATCCTATAGTAAAATCAATCATTGTAGTCAGCCCATTTTTCTTCTTTATTTATCACCCTATTCGTGTGTTATGCTAACTATTACATTATTGGCATTAACTTTGGAAAAAAGTAGTAAAAATCATAACATACTTAAACTAAAATTGTTAAGATTAAAATACTTTTAATAATTTTTTTTTGTATATTAATTCATTTAAGATATTTAGATTTTTTTCATTATCATTTTTAATATTTTAATGATCAAAATGTGCTGATCTTCTATGAATTATTTTGTTTTGCATCTGAGTTGAAATTCACATGTATATCTTCTGGCTCATCATGTCCCGGATACTAGCCTTTCTCCATTAGAGTGCAGTGATAAGTGACTTTCTCTTTTGATTTTGTCTTCATCAGTTTCTATTTACATTAACATGACAATTACCATTAAGGCATTAACCTAACCTTTGGTTCTGTTTAATAAAACTTTTCTATTTAAATAATGGGTTTTGAGAAAACTAAAGATCAGGGTTTGGAGCAAATCATGCTCATTGGGTCATCCCCGAGAAATGATATCTAATTTTACATTTTTTATATTGAGTTATACAATAAAAACCAATATTTCTTTACTAGAAAACAATTTCAATTAGTAGTTAGTAGTTAGAGAAATATTTTTTGATGTTAGACATAAAAATTGTGGATTTTGTAAAACCAAAAATTTCCTCACTACCCATGCATATTGCAGTACAATGGAGGCTTGAAGACATTATTCAGAATACACTAGTACAATTTATAGTGAGCGTAGCTTTCCTTTGTTATAGTTCTCGCTGATTGGAGAGAATGCTTTTTGTACATACAGTTTACTGTATAAATGAAGCTCCACATTTTATCAAAAAATGGAAAGCAACATTTTCTCATTTTCTTAGGAGCTTATGGTTGTTATACTTCAATGGGGGAAGAGATTAAAACCAGACTACTTAATTCGGTGGGATGAAAATTTCTCTTGAAAGTATAAATGGATTATTGTGGAAAAAAATTGTACTAATTTACTAGAGATTCATTCCAAACAAACCAGCGACCCAATACTGGACAGAAACAGGATCGAAGCCAAATTCACGGCTGTCTTATTTATGGCAAGCTGTCGCATAGATAATACATATGTAGACCCAAACGACAACATATTTTTAGTCTTATATCAAATTTATTACATGACCGACGCTGCTGCTTTGTTTTCGGCTTCTTCATTTGCAGTTGCAAGGAT